GATAATAAGTGTCATAGTTTTACATCTGGTATTCTCTCATGTGATATTGAATTAATGAATGAGTCACAATTTCATGTTAACTACCTCATACTTTTGCTGCTAAATTCAACTGAACATTTTTTTACTCATTTTTATAAAGACATTTCAAGTGATTCATTTTACCTCCCTTGTTCTTTTTGGAAATAAACAAGAAAACAATTCTGCTTGCTGATCATAAATAAACAGATTCTCTCTCTAATATAAACAACAACTGTCCATTACAGGTGAAAATAACTTATTATATTTACAAGGATAAATTTATATTTTCACAGCCCATTTCAGATTTTCAAGAGGAAGTTGGTTCACTTGTATAGGCTTTCAAAACATTTGTTTAGAAGATAAGTCCTTTGATTGTTCTTGATAGGTGTTGGAAAAGGTATTCTATTATCATTTTTATATATTATAAAATCCCAAAGGGATCATTACAAATAACCAATATTTTAATAAGTAGGTATTTAGTATATGTTGCATATAATCATTCCAGTTACAATCTTGAAGATTTAACCTGATAATGTTGATAACTGTTCAAAATTTTTTATGTATGATTCAAATTGACATTGATTGGTTAGAATAATCTAATTTATGCTCCTTTTCTAGATTGGTCCAGTTATTTATCCTAAGTATTTCCTAGCTTACTCTTGAGCAAAATACTTTTTTAATCTTCATTCACAGGTTTTATCTAATCTTTCCTAAAATATAACATTTATAGTATAATGAAAACTAGTCAGAAACTATGATCATTGTTACAAGTATAGGTATAATTAGTATATCAGGGTTTTTTTTTTTTTTTTTTTTTTTTTTACTATTATTAGACCATTAAGATAATGATTGCAAACATTATCTTATTTAACCATTGAAATCATACATTTTATTATGTGTGTTTGCATGTCTGTGATTATAGTAGCACATTAAATGTCCTATGATGTTATCTCAATGTTCTTAAATGTTATTTTTGTAACTTTCAAATTTTGCATTAAAAATAAAGTGATGATTTTGGGGAGTGGTGGGGGTGCAGTTCAGATACACCACATCTTAGCATTTGTTATCTGCTATAGGTTTCAAACTTCTAGTAATATGAAACAAATGATTGCTTTTTATTTTTATTTACTATAAACAAATTAACTCATCATGGTAAAATTACATTGAAACTTTAGAGCAAGAAATGATCACATATAAAGCAATGTTTTGGAATATGTAAGCAGAAAAAATTTAACTTTGAAATATGTAAGCAACACTTTAACTTTTTTCTTCCTATCAATCTTTAATGGATCTGTGAAAAATATTAAATACAATTTTACTGCAGATTACAGTAAATTATGAACATTTTGAAATCTTAAACTTAGCAATAATCAACACTTTTTCCATAGCAGAAATATGAAATGGGGATTATATTACGTATTAAACTATTCTTTGTTACCCAGACTTTGAAAAGAAAAAAATTAACTTTTACAATTCTACCAAGTTTTATCTTGGATATTTTATAACAATTGAGTTCCTTTTAACTATTTTAATTATTCTATAGCTGCATTCATGGAGTTTATATCCTCATATCTCTATTTTTATCATCTGTTAATTGATTTACTCTGATAAGCTATATTAATTTTATTAACTTTTTGCAGCTTGTCAAAAAAAAAAAAAAACTTAATTTCTGAAATGGAAAGTAATTTCTCTATTGTTCTTTTTAATTTGTTCATTATTTTTATGTGAAAACTAAACTATCTTTTTTCATTATTTGACTTTGCAATTTAATATTGACTTCCTCTCCTTGCTTTATTGTAATTATCCCACTGAGGATCTTCCCTTGAGAAAATTGTCACAAATATTCACCAGACATTATTCTTTATTTTTTCTTTAAATATTATATAAAGGTGGGTTTACCATATGATCTGCTTTGAGGAGTTTATCCCAGGGATATAAGCTATCACTATTTTGTATGTGAGCTCTGAAGCTTAAAGGATGTTGGGTTATTAAAAAAATGTATTAGATAAGAAAGCTATATTTATAAAAATTGTAAACTGTCCTGGTTTGGCATTTGGAAATTAGATTAAACCTATATAAGACCCTTCTTAATATTTTTTTTATACTATTAACAAGTAAAAAAAAATAATAATGATTATATCTGACAGTGAAAACCTAATTCTAAGCTGCAAAGTTTCCACTGTATGATGGCAAAACTGCAAGTGAGATTGATGCAAGCTATTTTTACTGTCAAAAACAACTATATCTACAGCTTAAATATAACTTTCAAACTTATTTCTTGCTATTAATCATTCATTTTTATCAATATAATCATTACACTGTTTTTAGCAATATCAAGTAAGCTATCATTTTCAAAATTATTTTGATCATCCATGTGCTAATACAGATTTAGAAAAATTATTTATATAAATTTGTGTCATGATCTATTTAATACAAGTAGCCTCTGAATATCATAATCTGTTTATTCTGAATCTCAGAATAAAAATTGTGTTTTATAAAGTGAAAAAATATTAACTATTTTTTAACTTAAAGCCTTTTACTATAAAATAGATATAATTTGGCCAATCAGATTTGTACAGAATATCCAATTAATTTTTTTATATAAACCATTATCTCCCCCCCCCCTCTAATGCACTTGTAAAATTCTATCAAATATATAATTTTAATTCAAGAAAAATGAATTCCAACTGTTATAACAGTAGTAATGTTGATGGGAAACAAAAAATTTATCTTTGGTGCACATAATTCTGTGGTTTCTCTGTTGCTTTCTACTTGGATATTGTTGTTTTTATGTTTTATTTGACTTAATTATTTCAGTAGAAACAGTAGGGGATGATATTAATTCAAACTTTAAATATTTTTGCGTATGATTACCTTTTTAATGTTTTCATCGGGTTGAGAACCAATACCACATTATTTGGGGATGATGAGAGCTTGTCAAGTGAAAGATAAAGTGAAATAAATTTCTTTGGCATTTTTAAATCTTTATAAATTTATTTAATTCTTCATTCTTCAATATATAGCAATTAAGAATATCAACTCTTTTCTTTATTTCATATTTATAAGAAGCAACAAAAGACAATCTTTTTGACTGTGAAAGGAAAAGAGTGTATGATGCTTAGTGCTAAATATTCAATTTAAAAAAACTTCAAGCTCACAGGAAAAATATTTTGATGCACAAAACAAAAATAATGTAGTCCTTCAGTTTGACACTATTTATGGGTATGCAACATCAGTGTTTTTCTCATTGGATGCCAGTATGAAAAATTGTTTGGGGATCCTAAACTGAAGCAACTCACAGAGAGCTGGCCATAGAAAAAACATGGATGAGTTTGATTGAAGCCATTGGTTTTGAGAGATTGTCCTTCTGTCTTGTTGATGGTTATGGCAAAGCAGAGCCTCACTGGGAATTCAAGACAAATCTGTTGATGAATTATAGGGATCCTTCCAATAGATACTATCTCCTTTATGCCTATCCCAATTAGAGTAGTTGCTCCAATGACTTATAATGAAAAGGTAGACACATCTCATTGCACAACTTGGAGATTCAGATTTTCAAGAAGCATGATGAACATCCTACCTTTTACTTGAAGTTTTATGGGCAGGAACACCAGAAAACTGAGGAAATCAGTTGAGTTCTAAATAACCTCGGAAAGGTTTTGAACTGTGTTGCTTAACTTGTACAGCTGAACAACGAGAATCTGTTGCAACAGTTTTAACTTTATTTCTTCAATTGCATCATTCTTTGGGGCAAGTATAACTTGCTTATGAAGTCACTAGTAATTTCTGCATTTTGGATTCATTTTTATATCTAAAGCAACTGAAAAAATCATATTTAAGCCTAAAAATTTTATAATTTTTTATTTGAAAGTATTTTCAGGTTTACACAACATTTTACAAATAACCAAACAATTTCTTTCTTTAATCTCTTTGCATTTGGCAAAACATGCTATTTTAATCCCAAATTGACCAATGATTTGGTGGGTCAATTTGGAATTAAAATAGCTATCTTATAACTTCTTTTAGTCCATGTCATCCCCAAGTACCAATTTACCAACAAAAATTGTTTGGCTTCCATTTAGAAGTTAAATTTAAACTTCTCTACCCTACCATCTGCCATTTGTGAGGTTAAAAACACTTTTATCCTTTTGTAGAAAACAAAAAAATACAAACTCTGTATTTTATTCCATTTTGCTAGAAATTGATTAATTTGACAAATGGAATACTGTGATTTTTAATGACCTCTGGATATCTTATAAATTTACATGCTAAAAATTACGTTTTAGTTCTGTGCATGTTTGTGTCATTTGTCTCCTCATCAGTTGTTTGTTGAAACAACCAAATACAAACCTTATAAACATTTGATCAAAGCCATACATATAACTAGTCAAAATGTCATCCAATCACACATCAAAAGGACAGGGCCAAAAGAGATTCAATAATTTGACATATGGTTATTTAAGCTTACATTCACAACCATAGCTTATCACAACCAATAAAAGTTAAGCAATTGTTTTAATTTGCTTTTGAGTAGGTAACAATTTTTTAAAATGTCTTTTCTCACTGCTGAAAAAAGTAATATTTGTACATGGTTTGCATCTTTGAAACAAATGAACTAAAGGGCAATAATTGTTTTCATGTACATTGATTTAATTTTGATACTTGTACATATTATTTTATGACAGATAAACATAAAATTCTATCAATATCAAGTGTTTCAAATAACACACTTTGTGAAAAGGTTCTTTTGTTTCTCTTATCCTCTTTTTTAATATGAAAACTTTCAATTAGGATGAAATGCTTTTAATTCATCTGCTCATCATTTTGTGAAGCTTTATATGTCTATTACAATATTTTAATGTCAAATTTATTATTGTTAGCTAAGTGGAACGACATTTGAAATTCTGTATGACTTTGTGTACAACTGTATATAACCATTTGCAATAACATAAAATTCTAGAGGTAAAATTCTATATTTACAGAGTCCTTCTAGTGAAAAAGAAAGGGAATACTATGAAGAAAAGAAGAAGGAAAAGAAAAGAGTAAGTTGTTTTTCTTCTTTAGATCCAGTTGTTGAACTCACTATTATTACAATTATCTTTCATTTTTGCTTGGTAAACTAAAATATTGTGTTCATTTCTATCACTATTATGGTTCAATACAAACATTCTTCAGTGTAGAACATTATCTGCCTCTTCCAAAATGTATGGATATGAATGCCTTGACCTTAGCAACAACAAAAAACAAAAACATTGATATTCAGTAAATCCTGTATGTCACTTTTTAACCTTAAGAATGATGATTTAGAAAATGCAATTTATATGTTTGTTAAAATAGAAACCAATATGTGAATATCCATTCCTGGTGAAGTTTGTATATGTGTAAATTATCACATATGAAAGTTACATATCAAATGCTACCATCTGTAAAAAGATTTTGTGTGCCAAAGTACCAAAAAATTAGAAAGAACTGCACACTGATGGCTTCATCCAACTGTGTCATGTAATAGGCAAAATGGGATTGTTTAACTTTGACAGTATAGCTGCAGTAGCCATGAGATGGCAACAAGATTTAATGCAGAATGATTGTTGGGATCAGTAAAATAATATACTCCCTATCTCCAATGTAGTAAAAGTTCTTGGTTTTTCTTGATCAATGGTATACCAAGAATGTATGAATTTCAAATTTAATATTGAGAAAAAAAAATGTTTGTATTTTCTAAATAAAACAATATCAAGAAATGTATCAATTTAAACACAAAATTTTTGTTCATTTTACTATCAAAGATATAAACAAACTTGAAGATATTGTTGACATTATGAAAATTACAAAAAGTTTTTATGCTGGAAATGTGTATAGAAGTAAGTGATGCAATGCAGAAATAAAATTAAAAAAAAACAAAATGTGCGTATTCAGTATTTCTGAACCAATGAATCCTATTACTAAAGACCATTTCTCATATGTTTTGTGAACAATTATTCAAGTTTTGTCATGATCTTTTTCCTCTACAAGACAGCAAGAAATATTTAACTAATATCAAATTGTATGGATCACTAAAGCTTGCTAGAAGTGGTAATAGTCCAGACTTAAAGATAAATAATTTGAATCAATTATATAATAACTATATTAAGCATAAAAAAAAATTTGCTCCCTATTTATTTACCATACCAAAAATAGTACTGTGGAAAAAGCTTCAAATGGCAAAATATTTCTTACTTGGGTCAAGGTTATCAAAAATAATGTGAACATATGCTGTCATGACTGTTGTGCATATTTAGAACAGGTGTTACAATCCCAGACCTGGAAAAAACAGTATTTGAATTGGGTGGGGATGCTTGAAGTTTGCTAAAACTGAATGATAGCAGTGAACCCACAAACCCCATTATCTGTGCTAGTTGATAACATAATTATAAGAAGTCTCAAATGTACTAAGACTGATCCTCTTGTTGAAGATGAAAATAGAAAAGGTGTGATTTTTGATCAGGGTGCCAAATTCTATTGAGAAAGTCCAATCAATATCCAAGTAATAATCATAATAAGTCTGAATATCTTGAAAATTGTGTTGTTGGTAATAACATTTATGCTAGTGTGAAATCGACTATAATTATTATTATTATTGAGTTTATGCATATTTTCTCCACAGATAACTATTTAACCAGAAAGATTTGAACTCTAAATCTATGAAAAAAAACAACTTGAATTTTATATATCTTGTCTAAGTTTAAGTGAGGGATCAGAATACAAATCTATATGTAGATGTAAATTAAGTATAAACTGCTATCTTGTGTGTAATATATTTTTCTGTCTAAAGGGATTAGTCATATTGTTTGCACATGTCACATTGAACCCCCTCCATGTGAATGCTACTACTGATAATACTTGTGGATAGTGCTAATATTTTATATTTTTTCATATATTATATGTTGAATTTAGACACTTAAAATTAAATGGACATTTACAAATGCACAAAGCTTCCAAATGATTTATCCTTTAATCTATTATATTTTATATCCATTCATTAATTTCAATCAAACTGTTATATTTTAGTCTAAAAGAATGACAGCTGTGTTATCTGTGTTACAAGTCTTTATTTACATATGTATATTTTAGGAAGTGCTCATAGTTTCACCTAAACCCACTAGCACCACAACCATTAACACCAGAAGTCAATTTCACTATACAATAAAAACAAAACCATTCTGTAAATATAAATTTCTAAAACATCACTAAACAAGCAATACAAATTCTTTTACAGGGTAATTTTTATTAATGAAAGAACAAAAAATAAATGTTTATTAATTTTATTTTTCATTCCTAATTACGTAAAATTTACAAAATGTCAGAAATACCTATTTCAGAGAAAGAGTGAAGGTATTGATAATGTAATAATATAAATAATTATATTATCAATAAATTATAAATAGGCATTTACAAAGTTTGATGTTGGGCTGCAAGTGTTTGGTACCCATTGAAGAAATATTTAAGGAAAAATATTTATTTCAAAACCATACAAATAATACAATGACCAGAATTATACATTTTTATAAAATTCTAATTATTACATATAGCCACATTTGATAAATTGTGATTTGCTAAGCGTAGCTTAACTTGGTGCAAGATCACTAGTTTGAGGCACTCATAACCTACATGACCAGCTTGCTAATTATTGCACCACTAACAAAATGTCCTTAAAATATTAAGTTGTCACAATATTCATATATTAATATTCTTGCAAAACTCATATTTTGGTATAAATATACCTGTTACAGAGGAATGTATTTAAATGAATATTTAACATATTTAATTAGTTCCTCCAAAAAATTTTCTAAAAAACAGGATCCCACAAAGAAGGCCCCAAACTTGATAAAAAATAAAGTTTTATCATCAAAATATTTGTTATTATTAAAAAGAAAGACAAAAGTATTTCTTGGGTATTTTATTACATTTTTTATTCCTTTCTTGTACGTTCAAATGTTTGGTTAAAAATCTTTTCTTTTTTTTTTTTTTTTTTTTCTTCAGCTGCTAGGTCAAAGATTAGTATGGGAAATTGTCTTTTTTATGGTAAAAAAAACATGGTTTTGGAAATTCTTGCAAAAATCAAATAATTGTCAGATTTTATGAAATTTTCACAACTTATTTACAAATAAATGAATGAAATTATTTTTAATTTTTTTTTTTTTAAATTTTACTAAAAATATATATTTTGCACATCTTACTTAATTTTCAGCCTCTTATTTATATTACCTAAAAGCAGGACAATTTATTGAAAATTTCTGAATCATAAAATAAAATTGACATTATTTAATTGCTTTTATAAATAAGATATAATTAGCTATTATCTTAAAAAATTTCCAATTAATAATGAATTTTTTACAATTTTTTCATCATTTTTTTTTTTTTAATTAGAAAAATTTAAGTTTTAAAACTTTTAAAATTCTGTATTAATTTCAGCCTTTTGGATGATAATATTATTAAGGTAAAAACTATTAATCATAAATGGAAAAGCTTGATACAAATCATCAGACACCAATTTATGCATATTTTTGTAAATATGGATGACCATACACGACATCATCAGAAAATAAGAGCAATGACTGTAGTAAATTTAAAGTTAACATTTCTAAAATAAAACATTAGATTACAGAGAATATTTTCTTAAATTTTTTTAGGTGTTTTGAAAAAATTATATAAAAAAAGTGCTTGTCATTTTCTTCAATTATGTTTCACAGATAAAGTCTGTAGAACAACATTAAACCTGTCATCAAGCTGTCAACATACCAAAACAGCTACTGTCAGATTAAAAACAAAGCTAATGTCAGGCTAAAAAAATGCATTTCTGTGATATTTTAAACTTAAAGTAAATAATATTTGTTACAAATGAGATTAATTATACTTTAAATCAGTTAATATTCCTCAAATAAAGTTTCAGAAAAGTGTATTTTATTTTTGGAAGATTTTTTTTTTAATGAAGAGAATTACATTGCAATGAAAGACAACTAAAAAATTGGTCCTAATCAGCTATTTTAGCAAAATAACAAAAAATTCTTTCCAGTCAATTCAAATTAGTTTTAAATTAGTTTTTGAAATACAGCAAAGTATTTTGCTTATTGAAAATATTAAATTTAATCTATTAGCTTGAAATTAAAACTAAAATAAAAGCTTCAAGAAAGATTTTTCATTTTTTAAAAATTCATTTAAACCTTAGGTATCTGCTATTTTTTGTGGCGGTACCTATATTTAATGGTATAGTTATAAATACTTTTATACCCTATTATTTAAACCACTTGTGCTCATTTTAGTTGTTATACTTACAACATTTCAACCATTGTATCTTCCAGACTTTTCAGGTGTCTGTTGTCATACTTAGTAACCTCAGAATTTTGAAACAAACCCTTTATTATAGGATAGAATTGTATGAATTTCACAAACTGAGTCTGATCACTCATACAATTCTATGTGAATACATTAAGTTTAATGCTCCAAAATTACACCACCATATTTTCAAAGAGACACACAGAATAGTGGATTAAAACATTAGTTAAAACCTATCTGGCATTTTTGAGTTTTCTCCCTAATGCTAAAAAGTCATATACTCAGATTCAGTTGAAGAAACAAACAGCCCAAAAGTTAATAAGACTTTTTGTGGATATTAACTGATATAAATTATCCCCTAAGAATGGAAAATGGAATGGGTGGACTGAACGTGTTCAGTTCAAAATTCCAAAAATGTTACCAAATATGATGATAACCAAGATAAGTATACTGCTCTCAATAATAAGACAATAATGACAATGCCTCATCTCTAAAATTCTATATAAATTATCAGTTTAAAATTAAATACATTTTTAAAATTATTTTTGCAATTACCTAAATTAAGAATGTGTTTGTGCATGTGAAAGAGAGAAAGAGTGAGATAGATACAAGAACAATTAAGTTGAAGTAAAATTGATCAACCCCTCAGAACTATAGTGAGTATTAATTTACTGTTGATTAAGCTTTTTGGCTGTCTCTGGCCATCTGATCTGTTTGGATTATAATTATCTGTTGCTTAAAATAATACTGACAACCAAAAGAGTAGAGGAAGTTGCCACAACATGTGCACTTTTCTTATCTACTCCAAAACATAGTTTCAGAGAATTTTCTCACACTTCATGATAAAATAAGCCCTTGGCTTGAGCCTAACACAGTTTCTATTGCATTTATATGTCATTTGTTTGCTTTACATTTAGGAATGCAGATCTAAATGAGGGAAGTGCTATATTATAGGACATGTTTATTTGCATTGCATACACAAAAGTTTTCATTCTGCTCTGGTACAACCAACAGGCAGATTGTATTGAAATTTTGTATTGCAAGCTAATCCTCATTAGCCATTTTATGATTCTGAATTTTCTGTTTAATCAATTTTATAAGAGCTTTTTCAAATAAGATGGGGAGGATTGCATTAATATTTTACGCAGAAGAATAATTAAAATCTAAAATTGTGTGTGTGCACACAGAAAAATGTATAAACATTTTCTGTTTTATATACACAGGAGTTGATAAGGGATATTTTGTAAAAAAAATGCTTATTCATATCTCCTATCCAGACTCTCTCTCACACACACACACACACACACACACACACACAATCTTACAAAGGTTTTGTGCTAACCACTTTATTTATTAATCAGCTGAATTTTTGTTTTTTTAACTATAAAATAAAATTTTAAAATTCAACATGAGCAGTGTTTGCATTTATGTATTTAAATAGAAAAAACAGTTTTACTGCTTTATCTGTTTCAAGATGGTTTCTTAGTTTGGAATGCAACAGTCCATCAGACAAAAAAACTCATTCAACACCAGATGAGAGGCCACTGCTGATAGGAGTTGCTTACTGCAGAAAGTATATCACTACCCAACACACTTTCAAATTTGAAAGTTAAAAGCAACACAGACGGGAATTGGAAAACCCAGATTTAAGTTTAAAAAAACAAAACTGGCTGGCAGCATTGCTAGCAAACTACTCATAAAAAATTACTATGTTTTATGTACAAATCAATCATACATAGCTGAAGATCACCATGTCAATCTGTTATTTTAAAATGCTGTAAGAATAAAATAATTGTATGACCTTATCTGGAAAAAGAACAAAAACAAGACTAAGTTAAATGTAGATGCATCCAAAAGCTTAAAAATGGTAAAAATTAAATGTAGATTTTTATCAACTAAATTGGGGAAAATTCAGCCAAACATAACCAAAAATTGTTAATTTGGCAACCCTAAATTACCCTACTATCGTAATCTCTCAAGTTATTCATATCAGTTTTCTCTTTATTTCTTTATGTACAAAAATGAAAAAAAAAATCAACAACCCTGGTTTTTAGTGAATGCACAATATGACAATAAATATTGTCCATAAAGAAAAAAAAAGAGAGAGCTGGCTTTTTACCATTTAGGGGAAACAAATATCACGTCACCACATGAATCAAAATTAAATTTAACAGTAAAATTGCTTAACAATTTCACACAATTTTTAAAATGCTTATATAGTTCTCTGGATAGTAGTTCTGCATGTGTTCAGTCTATCACAAAAATATTCTTCTAGCTGCAGAATCTTTGTAGAAACTTTCAACATGTTTATCACATTGAATTAAAATTATAGTCTGTTGAGTAAAAACAAAAATCACATTTACAATATGGTATTATCTAAAGAATAATTCTTGCCACCATTTTTCTCCCTATTGTTTTAAAATTAACCAACTTTCTGCCTCTGAAAGCAAACAAGTTCTGCTGCAGGATTTCTCTCTCTTGGAGATAGAGGAGTAGAGAGGCAACTTGATTTGTCTCATTGTTAATTCAATTTCTAGATTTAGTCCAGTTTACATTGGTTGGATGAGAACTTTGAGAAATTCTAGGTCAACAGATAATTTCTCTTGCAGTAGAAGCAGGTTCTCATTAGGATGTGTGTAAAGGAAGCAGGATGAATGCCAAGATAAAGATCAGTTTTCTGTTGAAGCCAGGAAGTAAAAATGGGATTGATTGGAGGAAATTTCTAACTGTTGAAATCCAAGCTAATCATCAGACACTGAACTGTTGTGTAGTTCATTGTTAAAATAACATGGGTCAACTAGTATATACTCTCTCTCTCTTTCCTACTATCTCTTGTTCATACATAGCCATATAATCATACTTTTGATTATCATCAATTTTGTAATTTATAAAGTGAATTTCAATGTTGTATATTGAGTTGTCAAGCATTTAAATTGTCTTTTATGGATTTAACTGGATTATGAGATAACAAAAAATATCTTGTTTCTGTTTCATTTGGGTAATTTGTGTATGTTGCTTATTTTTCTGACTTTTTTAACTTGCTTTGTTCATGGTGATAAAAAAAGAATCTGTATATGCTACAAATTCATGAGTGACAAAAGTACATTTATTTGCTTTATTGTTGCCAAAGCATATTTTACATGACTAAGTTTCTGAATGCATTAAATTTATATTGATATCAACTTCAGAACAATAAATTGTTATTTTAATGCTTATCATTTTTAATTTGATGCATGCTATTTAAGTGTTATTATTATACTTTGACTTTGGTTTGCAATTCTAATAATCAAACATGTTGGTTCTTATTAATCTAAAAATGAAGCAATATAATGTTTAGTCATTAAGTGGATGTCCATCACCAACAAGTGATAGGCATCATTTTGTTTCTAATTATATTTATGTTGTCTCTCCTTTTGATGAAACAAATGAGTTGTATCTTGTTTCTATTTTGTTTTTAAAGGATATTTCCTCAGACAGGAGCAGTATAGAGATAAAGAAAAGAAAAGGTGATGACAAATCAGGTATTTTTTTTTCCCTCTCAAATTGTTATTTTTCTTTATGATTGATCAAATAAATACTGACAAGTTATATAAGACAGCACACAGAAATCTCCAATGTCCAGTCAAATGTTACTTGCTCCCAAAAGTTTCATTTATTTATCTATTATTTTATTAATTTTTTTCTCAAGTGGGTGGCTGCTCCAAAGACTCCATTTTACATATTTTACTGCTAGTTGTAAAAACAGCTGTTCAAATCACTGCTGTTATGTCACATTAGAACTTGGTATTTCTACTTAGTAATTGTTTTTCACTTATGTATAATTTTAGTGATACTGGCTACAGATATTTGTCTTGAAATATTTTATATATTGAACAAATAATTTTTTATATTTTAATACTTAATGGGAATTGAACTCAAATCCTAACAAATGTCTTAAAACAATTTATGCATTCTTATATAAATTCAAGTGATATATCTTTTTTACTAGCTTCATTAAGTGTTTTTTTTTTTTTTTTTTTTTTTTCAGGTTTACCTGTTTTTGGCTTGCTTCTACTTGCATGACTGCCTTTCTGTGTAGTAAAATTTGTTTGATGCAAACATGGCATCAAATATGTAACATCTATTATAATAGTTGGCTTCTTTCTTGCACTAACCACTTTTTAGAAGATTTTAAGAAATCTATCTTGTTATTCAGACAAGAGAATATTTAATTATTTTCCCCACCCGTATAATTCGTAATATTATAACTGTGGCTAGATGTAAACTTTCATGTTCCTTTGTTTTGCTAAGACTTCTTTTATTACAGGATTTTCATAGTTAATCTAAATTGTTTTTATGAAATTATCTATAAATATAGTCATCTTTCTGAGATGTTTAAAACTTTAAAACAAAAATCTATTTCAGATTGAAATAAAATAATTTTCCATTTAACATAACTTTGCTCAAATACAACTTTGAGTCAAAGTAAACACAGAGTTCTCACAATGTTGCCAACAAACCAGCAGTGAATTTATTCCATCATGATAAAAAGTAAAGTGATTTGAAGTCATCAAACTGGTTTGCATTAATGTACACCTGTTAATAATGTGCTTCTAAGGACTGGACTCAGTAGAGAACAGGTTCAAAGAATAGAGAGGTGGAAGCAGGATCTCAATCTCTAAAGGCATCAGTTTTTTGCAGGGTTGTTTGGGAAATAGGAAATTTTGAGTTATCCTGAAGCAGGATAGGCCATTTTCATTTCACCACTACTGATCAAAATGTTTTTGTGTTCTTTCATACATTTGGTTTCAAATGATGATACAATGATTCTGCCATTCAGGTCTGATCAGGTTAGAAATTATTGTAATTGGCTACTCCTTATGTCATCACCACAGTCATGGGGATTTTGAGTGGGTGTAAAGAGTTGGTTTGGGGAAGTTTGAGATGAGGGTGTGCTCACTGATCAAAAGTATAACAATCAGCAGAAGGATCATTTTAAAAACAACCAGCAAATTGCAACAAGTGTCAAATCATGCAAGCTACTTGTCATCAGTCAAATTTTTGCATTTTGTTTCATTGGTGCCAGATGATTTTTAACTGTTGTATGAGTTGTTCTCAGTTTTTCTTGTCAAGTGATGGTTTTCAATCCAGAATCAAAATAATTGAAAAAGTTCAAACTCCATCCAAAAGTGGGAGGGGCACAAAACTTTAAAATGGTATATAAATGTATACATCAACAGATAGGAATGATGAGAAGAAGAAAAGAAAAAAAAATAACTAATATAAAATCAAACTATTTTGTTCTAAAGTAGTAGTAGTAAGAGTTTAATACATACATGTATATGAAATAATAAACTCTGAATTTAACTTGCATTTAGACATGTCGGGTAAGAGACAAAAATACAACAAATATTAGAAGATTTTTAGTTAGAATTATTTTGTTGTTCTCTCTTTTGACATTAGTAACATTTTAAGTGAAATGCATATATTTCTCAAAATGTTTAACTAGAATCAGGGCATTTTTGCATTATTTTTTATTTGAAATAAGTAAATGACTTTTAAATAGATTTATTTGATTCTAACTGGTTTGAAAAGATAATAAAATAAACAATTTTACTTGCAAAATTACCTAAAATTGTTTCAGTTAAAATAGTTTTATGAACTGATTTGAAATTATTGACCGATTTTATTAAAAGTAGAATTTAGTACATATTTATGTATAACTGATTCAAATTTTCAGATGACAACAGACTGTCTCCCACTCAAACAACCAGCTTTATTTAATATCAGAAAAGATTTCTAACAAATATGGTGTGTATGTGTGTGTGTGGGGGGGGGCTTCCTTTTGTCAATGTTTCTTGTTCTGAATTAGTACTACCAAAATTATAAATATTATTAACACACACTACGTTGTGCAATGTTGTAAAGAAAAATATTAATATGCTCTAAAAGCATGTTGGCTCATTATAGAGCAGTAAACTGAAAGATGAGAGGTTTGGCTTAAAGGCAATGGAGGTGGTTACCACAGATTCAGGGGAAACTAAAAAATGAAAACAAAAAAGCCTTTTATTCAAATGATTAGTACTTCTAAAAATTTGTCACCAGAAAAAAATATAAGCAAATCATTTTTTTTTTATTTTTTATTGGTTTTGATAAATGTTTTACTATTTCAGTTTATCTAGTCATGTCAATAATTTCCATATATTACTTTTTAAGATGTCAATTATATAAGGACTGCACATCCTGAAAGTTCCTTTATATTGTTCTAATCATAGCTGAACTGTGGGATTTCTGAAAATAGCTTATGATTTATCATAATTATTATTATAATCTATAGCCTGAAAACATTTGAAAAACAGCATCAAGTGAGAATAGAACTGAAAATCTTGGTGAAATCGTGTTGCATCCATGTACGCATTCTTAGTTGAACAATTCTGAATTAATAATCATTACAAGTTTCACTTGGGAATACCAGTTCTTAACTGAGCACCAAATCTAGTGATTTTTGGTTTAATCACTATCAAATGCATAATCATTCTACAGTATTGTAGATGTTCAGTCATAGGAATTGAATATTTATAGCTTAAGATATCTTAGCATTTCATTCTCATAAAGCATTCTCTGCTTAGACAAGTGACTTTCTCTCAAAAATCTTTCAAAACAAAACCTATTACTAGAAAAAAAAAAGAATTATGCTAACTTTGTATTAGAAATCTTAAGATAAAAATAATTTTTAAATTTTAAAAGATTTCTAATGTATTTCTACAACAAAAATTATTTTTGAAAACTTAAAATTTAGATAAATTGTTGGTGATATTGTTGGTGATCTTCACAAGTTTTATTTTTATAACTGGTAACACCCATCTCATCTTTCTATTTGTCTCATTCAAAATTATACTGCCTCAACATTGATACTAGGTAAGCATTATCCACTTTCAGTCGCACTTGCATTGTTTACCCCATGAGGATACTGATAGGAACACAACACTATCTTTTCTACTAAATCATAAGAAGCAATGAAACAAAAAATAATCTTATTTGTTGTGTATTTATCATAGCCAAAGAAACAACTAAAGGCATTACATATGCTACATATACAACAGGAAATTATGCTATACTTCATAGGTGAATTGTGAGTATAAAATTTCAACTTCTTAGATCAGATAAAACATGTGCATTCCAGCTTTAATGCTCTAGCACATAGCTTTGCCAGAAAATGCAATTGTTTCCTTTTTTACAAAGTCTAATCATAGATATATTCTATGGGAGATGAAACTGAGAAATAGTTCAAATGTACATCTTATCTATTGACATTCAGGCAAGGAAAGGGTTGAGTTAATTTCTCATTTATTTGACATTTTAAAGTTTTAGCACTAATTATTTTTTTTTTCCTTTTCTTCAGAGAATTAATTTCATAATTCTTATTTCAAAAATTAAAATCTATTAACCTTTTGAAAATTAGTTGATGCCATCTGTTTTCTTATGCTCTTGTCAATAAAGATTCCCATTTAGAAGCTGAAACTTGATACTAATTTAATCTCTAACGTAATGTTTGTGTGCAGTGACCATCCTCTTCATATTTCATAAACTAACAAAGCTGTAACTGACAACATTTTCAGTTTATTTTTAAACATTCATGTAAAATGTTAAAATTTATTTAGAAATATTCATTTTTTTTATTAAATATATAAAAAATTTTTACAATAAAATGTCTTCTTTTTTTTTTTCTTTTTTTTTTCTTTTTTTTTTTATACAATTGTTATCTTGTTGATTGTAGGCAACAGTAAACTAAATGGAGAATCTACAGAATCTCGATTGTCTTCTGGCTCCAGTGGTAAAGAAGAACGGAGAAGCAAAGAAAAACAATTTAGCAAACATGACAGTTTAGAAAAGGAAAAAAGCAAAAGGGTAAATATCTTGTTTCTATTGCAAAATTTTGAGTTTCAGTTTTTGTTATAAACTAATACCTAAAATGGCTTGCCAGTTATATATAAGAAAAAAATTATTCAAGTGATCACTACAAAATTTCAAAAGATTTTAGAATTATACAGATAATATATTTTTAAATTAATCAATTATTACTCTTAACATAATTTCTTGGTTAACTCACTTTATTGATAAAAATCTCTGAAATTCTTTATCCACTTGTGTTCTCTATATTCAAAATCAAATCAAAAATACCCAGTGATCTAATAGATTGTCACGGTACCATGTTGGATCCTTCATGGTATTTCTTTGAATGATGAACATTGTTTGGTAGTACCCATCTATATGATAGGTTGTATTGGTTATATGATACCAGCAGCAGAGAGAGGTGGAATCATGCCTTTCCCATGGTATTAATGAAAAGGAAGGACAAACTACATTGACCAGAATTTCAACTCAATTTACTGATTCCATTCTGTTAACCATTAAGCCAGTTTTATTCTCTATGTTAAACAAGTATTAGATATACAAAATTACATGCCAACATACTCCACCTGTACTTAAGTTTTGTGTGTTAAAGCAGATGGCAATGTCTAAATCATTAGTGGGTCTCTGTTTAATCATACTTGGAGCATTAATTCACTGTAACATCTAAAAGTTAAATCCTCTTCCAGTTATTTTTGGCTCCCTTAAAACTCTTGTGGATGATCTCTTTGTTTATATTTAGTTTCATATTTGTTGCATTTATCAATTCACTGTTGTAACTAATTTTTTGTAGATACATCATTTTGGGCAAATGATGAGTAATAATACAGTTATAACTTATTTAGTAACAACTTGCATTTTAATCAATAATCCACACATATAAAGTTATGTATATGTGTATAACACTTCACAGTGCACAAATACTACACCTTAATCCTGGACAGAAATGCCAATCCATACATAATCTTGTTGTTTGTTTGGGGTTTTTTATGGGTATTATGCTAGTCAGCAGTAAAGTAAGGGAAATAAACTGCTCATTAGCTTAATCATAAATGGGACTTGAACCACTTCATTGTTAGGTTATGTACAATAGTAGATTAAAACTAGTCTATCATGAACCTGATGATGAATTTCAGTTTCACTTATGCATGTTGAAAAAGTAATTCATCTATATCTATGCTTGGATGTTTTTTTTGTTTTTTTTTAACTGAGTGAAGAGACTAGCTTGAACTGCTTTTTTTTTTCTTTTTTTCTTTTTCCTAGTAGTAGTTGAAAAAATTAAAGTTTTAAGACAGAAACTGTAATCTTTAAAATCAGTTTAACTCCTCTCTTTCAGAACAACTTATCTATTTTGTCTTTCCAGTATTCAGAAGCAATAAATCTCATTTTCAGTCTCTAAACCAATGAAATAAACTTTTATCATTATTTTGATTCTTGCTTTGCAGGAAAGCCGAGGTGAAGAAGAATACAGAGAGAAAGTAAAAGACAAAGAAAAAGAACGAATGAGGAGAGCTGAAAAAGAAAAACTGTATCCTTCTAATCCATTTGATGGACTGTAGAGTTTTTCTTCCTTTTCTTGTCTTTTTTTTTTTAAATTCATTTTTGCCTTACCTGAGGCTGGATATTGTTAATTAAAAGTTTCTCTAATCAATATTGGAATACTATTTGTTTTTTGAATTAGTTTCCTTGGTTCAATGAGGCATAATTAAACTTAATGACTGCATTTCTGCTCTCCAAAGAGGTGGAGAGCTGCTTATAGCAGCTAATCAATTAATTCTAAAGAAAAAATAGCCTACTTAAAATAATTTTTTTATAATGATAAAGTTTCCGCAGAATCTTCAACTCTACTGCACCTAGCAACCTTGTTGCTGTGTTTGTTGACAAAAGATCTCCTGATTTTGTTCTATTCTGATTTCAGCTAAAGACAAAGATTGCAATATATTTGTTGTAGAAGAAAATTATTATTAGTTTTAATAATCAAGCAAAAGTCTTCTAGTTATAAGTCAACAGAATTACTTGCTCGAATTTGGCTCAATATTGCTTTTAATTGAACATGTATCATTGTTAATATTTTATAACAGTATGGTTAATTAGATAAAATAATGGCTTCAAGTTAGCCCTATTGATTTAAAAATTATTTCTTATTTTTATCTTGTAACAATTACAATAATTAAATAGCTTGGTCACAAAATATGAAAGTTCAAATGTTTACAAATCCTGGCAAAGTAGCCACATTAAAATTACCTTGTGTCAAATGCCATATTATATAGAGGATGTGGATAACCAACTACCAATCAGATGTAAATTCTAGATCATATGCATTGAGATTTCTGTTTGAGTTTCAAAAGAGCAAATAATTATTTTTTTTAATGGATTTTAATAATTCAATACCCTCTTGTCACTCTTATTTATATTTACTTTTATTTTATTACCCTTAACTTAAACTTTTCAGTTCCAGCAAAAAATTGAAGAAGTGATATCCATGGTGGGTGCCATGTTGCAGAAAGGACAGCTGTGTTTGTGCTTCCTCTATGATTAACAAGCTCTTCAAGCCTCTTGTTCTCAACCACAGTTTGCTTGGCCTTGTGCCCAGTTGTCAATGGACAAGTAGTTAGGAGGAGACAACAAAACACTTATACCAGCTGTGCAAAAAGAACTATTAGAACCATTATAATTATACCAACTCACACATACACACCAATATGCTTTCTCTCATAAACTGAGGGTAAATCTCTCCATCTTAATTCCTTACCCTCTCCCATACCAAATCTCCCAGCCCTGCTCAATTTTTTTTAACTACAGACATGTTTTTACCACTACACAACCCAACCCAGTAATGTGCTGCCACTCTTTTAAGAAGGTTTAAAAAAATGTGAGAGATATACTGTGACTCAGAGAGGAGAGCTCCCACAGTATTTTAATGGTCCTACTATCATGTTTTATTTCTTCACAAGACATGTGGCCATTGTATTGATGGTGCTGATCCTATGCTGTTGTAAGATATTTTTAAGGTACCCAGACACATAGGTACACACACACACACACACACACACACACTCTTGTATGTTCAACCCAGCAAACCTATCTACTTATTTACCAACATTCATTATACTTATGTAAATAGAGGCTGCCACTTGGTGGTGTGTGTATGTGCCTGTGCATGGTAATGAATATGATCATAACAACAACAGACACTAGGTCAGTGGCATGAGTTTCTTCAAGAAGACAAATCAACTTGAACTTTTCTTAAAAATAACATGTGAATAAAATAAAAAAAATAAAAAAAACTTATATATATAAAAAGACTTCAGTTTTTATTGTTTACCTTTGTGTGTGATGTGAAAGCCAAATTATTACACTTTCATGACTTGGTTATTATGAAATAAATAAGACTATTAATACAAAAATGAAGGAAAAGTAGATGCATTTTCCTTTGATGGAAGGTAAAAACATTGTACAAACAAAAGTGTCATGTATGGAGATGTCAGCATAGATGGGAGTACTGTAAGTAGTTGACTAGGTTCAGAAGATGGAAATTTTGATATGAAAGAATATTCTGGCAAGCCTGCAGTAATTATTGATCACCAAATTAAAAATACCAATTAAAAATAATTATGTAATGTAACACTGCATATTGCAGAAATACTTCAGATATCTCATATGAGTGTTATAATGCACATGAAAACACTAAGGTATGTGAATCACTACAATTTGAGTGCCTCACAATTGAACAGAAAAACTTTGGACTGTATTTCTGTTTGCACGAATTGACCCATATGTTAAAAGAATAATCATGCGTAATGAAAAATGAGTTGTTTACAAGAATGAAAAAAAAGTCCTGGAGAAAAGATGGACCACCATTAACCACTCCAGGTGATGCTTTGTACCTGGAGTTATTGGATGAGCATTGTGTATTTCAAGTTCTTGCAAGATCAAACATTGAATTCAGACAAATACTGTTCCCAATAGTACTGAATAAATGCAGCAATGGATGAAAAGTATCTTGAATTGGCTATTCAATCAGAAGGTTGTCATCTTCAGATCAATGCCAGAACTTACATGTCTTTGCCAAAATATGAATTGTTTAGATCAGATGCCTTACTAAACCCACTATATTCACCTGAGCTTGAACCTTCAGATTAACACTACAAAATTCTGTTAATTAGAAGAACTTCAATTCTCTGGAAGCCTATAAAAACCACCTAGGCCAGTTCATCACTCAGAAAGATACAAAGTTCATGAAGCTGCCTCGCAAAGGGTAGTGGGAAAATTAGCACATATGTGGTTGAATAAATCTATCAAATATCTAAATATTGTCTTTGAAATTCATTTAAAAATGTTACAAACATTTGTTACTACTCATTATCAAGTTGAATAATTTATTCAATGTGGCTTCCATTATTTTCAATTACAGCTTCAACAAATTGTACAACTCTTAACCATGAAGTCTTTGGACAATTAGTCACACTCCTCTTTGACAGAAACCTTAGAGTACTGATGTTAGAGTGTTGGTGGCCTGCTCTAAAATACAGCATAATCGAATAGATCAAAGTTGAAAAGGGCCAGAAGTCCACTGGCCTGAAATCAGCAAAGTTGACTTCTTGTTCTCTGGAAAGTTGACCTTAAGCCATGACAAAAAGATGTTATCCCAGAACCTTGTAGTAGGCAGCAATATCCTCATTTTCTCCAAACTTGTAGAAGAATGAGAGCATTTTCTTCCTGTTTGATGACATTTCATCCAAGGCCGTAACCTCTGCTAGATGTTTGTTCTTGAAAACACTGTTGAGATCATCTGTTGACTGAGGTACTGATTGTTTCAGCAATTCAAACAGCATTCACTGTAAATATGTCCTTGTCACAGAATATTTTAACAGTGGACCCATTATTCTTCAGATACCTAAACACTTTCTTGCACATTTCCAGCTTCCTGGCTTTCATAGACACCCTGATTTAAGTTGCAGGTTGTCATGCACACTTTTTGACAGTGGGGAAACCAGCACTTCTAAATCAACAGCTATCTTACACATGGATAATGTTGGGTTCTTTGTACTTTTGGTCTTGAGGGCCTTAATGAAATCACAATTACGCTTATTTAATCTGCTACTGCCTAGCTTCTGCGTGTCTATGGTCTTCTTAACATTGGCAACAGCTTTTGCAGTCAATTGCTGCATGAAGTAAATCTGACACTGTTTCTGGCTTGTCCTTTTCATGAAAAATAGATTTGTATTAATAGCTTAGCTGACAGTATACTGTTTGGTTTCACGTCATTTGATGTTGTAGTTGGTTGGAAATTGAAGTTTCAATTTTACTGCAAGTTTTTGATTTTCCGTGTGTATTTGCGTAAACTGTTATTTAGAGTGTAAAATGAAGAAATTCAGAAATATTTTTAATAGGATGAATTGTTATCTATTATAATTACATAAATTTATATCAATATGTAAACTATCAAATATTAGCTATTGATATATTGGACAGTGCTTTTACTGTATCTTGAATGAGTGAAAATAGTTTTATGTTGATATGAGGAGGTACTGAAAAGTTATTGGCCTTTCCAATGTGATGTTTAGTCATTTGTCCAATAACATTTTCGGTGCCATTTCATATATTACAGTTTTAGCACATTTTAATGCTTTATGTGCCATGCCCCTTTCCACAGATTGGTCTTTTGTCGCCTTCAACAGTATTTCCTCCTTTATGATGCTTCTCTGTGTTATTTGTTCCTCCATCCATTTACACCAACTTGTCAAGTAGGTTACTTGCCTTTGATGCATCCTGTTATTGTTAAATTTTTCAAACTTTATTTCCTCCTCATGTTCCAAAAATTCCAGCTGTTCCTTTCTGATTGCTAGCAACAATTTCTTTTTAATTCCTAGTCATTTTATGACTTTCTCATTTGTCACATACTCTGTCCACAGTATTCTCAACATTCTTTGGTAGCATAACATCTTGGTTGCTTTTCAAATCTTTTCTTCATTTGGGACAAAATTATCCACTTTTTACTACCATATAGGAGAGTAGACATAATTATGTTCAAGAATTCTTTTCTTCATTTCTGCCATGTTTGATTACTTAATACCTTATTCAATTTGTGCATAGTATCTTTCTGTATAACAATGTGCTTTCAAATTTCTGTGTCATACTTTCCATCATTTTTTTTTTTTTTACTAAACGTTCACCCAATACAAGGCACAAGAGTCCCTCAAAGTAAAGAGTTATTAAATGGGGTACATAGGATGGAGAAGTAAAAGCAGATTCTGGGGATATGTACAATAGGTAATGGCTGACCCTAGACTTGAAGAGGGTCAGAGAAGTATCCTCTTGGGAGTCTGATCCACAAAGTAGCCTCTCTTGGGAAGAATCTGTCTGAATGGAACTTCCTTTTTACCAGTTGGATATGAAGGGAATGAGGATAGTTCACTCATGTGTAAAGGGAATTGCAGGGCTTATCTGAATGTCTCAATTGATAGAATTAGGGAATGTAACTGATCCATGAAAATAGCAAGAAGCTTGCGATGTTGCATCTATGGGAAATTCAATCTCCATACTTGTTGCTTCTAGTATATTACTCACATCTTGGGCTGTCTCTTTTGTTCGTTATCATTCATTCTGTTATAATTAATGGTTAGTCCTTTCTTTTTGCTTTCCTTGACTACATTTGTCTATGTACTCTTATGTGTAATACTGATACTTGCATTAATAATATGAATTGATAAACTTCAGAGCACACGAGATAATGCAGAGTTTGTGCAAATCACAAAAGATCATCATTATCATGGAAGGCTTAAATGCAAAAGTAAGGAACATGGCAGTGAAATAGAAGGCAAACATGAACTTAAATCATGAACACAGAAAAATGGGCCCAATGGTGCACAGCAAATGACCAAACAATAACCAACATCTGGTTTCAAGAACACTCTAAACCAGTCATGGGCAAACTGTGACCCACAGGCCACATGCAGCCCATTTGGTCTTTCTGAATGGTACACTTAATTTCATAAAGAAAATAACATTTCTTAAAATTTTGTTTTGTTTCAGTCTTGTTCACTCTTTTATACATAATGATTACATACAATTTTTCTTGAATTTTGTAAAATTCTGGGGAAAGTAACATCAGCATTTTAAACCATTGGCAATTTTTCACTAAGGAAGATATGTGTAAACATCTCATGCTTTTGAAACCGGAAACATTCATAATTTTTTCTCTAAAGAAATGTTTTCATTTTCAAATGAATAAATTAAAAATAATTTCCAGGCAGCGACATGTGTTAATCACACTGTCATCAATACCATGACTTCAATTAATTATAAAAAAAATCTTTTCTAAAAAATAACTTTCCTACCATTTCTATGGTATATGCTTAAACATATGGTCTTCTGTAGTGAAAATAGCTGAGGTACCTACTACAAAAAAATTACCTTGAATCTTTTTAGTAGTGCAGCCTGCCTTGTGATTGAGACATATATCATGCAGCCCACC